GAAATCTGTCTTCACAACAGTATAGATAACTGTCTTCACAACAGTATAGATTGAACATAGAAAAACTTAAATATATTGCTTTGGAAAGAAATAGTACCCAAACTAATGCGTGACCAATTAAAACTGCTACTGGCATTCATAGTTATCCAAGATAGCGGGATGTCCTTCTCGCCTTCTTTTTCACATACAAACTGAACTCTACCAAAATCACTGCAATAAAATAGCAACAGGTGTGCTAATCCTCGTCGCACAATGGATGTGTTATCCTCAGTAACTATACGAAAATATAACTATAATCGACAACAATCTCTCCTTCATTTATACACATTTATTATACCAGCATGATATCAGAGAAAATATATTTTACGTATGTTTCATTGCACATAGCGCTATTCAACAATAAATAATCTATCTTCAAACACAAGAAAAAGACTAAACGTTAATTTCTTGTAGTTATTAATGAATAAGATTTTTTTTTATTAATTTTGATATTAGATTCGTACTCAGCTACCTGAAAAACTTTAAGTTTGAATAAATTAAATTGCACAAATCATTTGAACACAATCTATTTGATAGATTAATGATCTAATTCGCAACTTTTCTACAATAGACATCATGTTTAACCCATGACATCATGTTTAAATATCTTATTAACTATAATCAACACAAAATATTTTTCTTGAAGATTGAAGATTTTAATAATACATAATTTTAATTCTAATAAAACTTTTCCAACACATCATAGTCATATATCCCAAAGTAAAAATAGTTGTTTTTGCAACTTTTAACTGCAAATTTCTGAAAAAAAGAAATATGATGTGATAAAGTAATTTAGAAAACAAATTCATGTTCATTAATAACTACAAGAAACTAACATTTAGTTTCTTTTTCTTGTGTTTGAAGATAGATTATTTGTTGTTGAATAACACTATATACAATGAAATATATCTATGATATGATATATTCTCTGATATCATAGTAGTATAATAAATTTAAGATATATAAGGGGTATTTGATAAAGATCAATGTTCGTGGGTAGAGCGCAATAAATTGAACAGGAAAGTTCTTTATTATTTTAAAATTTTTATAATAATTATTGAAATATTATTTAAAAAGAAATTGGCGAATTACCGCGCATTTCGCACATTTAAATTGTGGAATGTGATCACATGACAACAACATAAAAAGTTTAGCATTCTCCCACTCGTGTCTTTTCGTTGCCGTGCGACACTCGTTGTTGGCACACTTAAACCAAACACATCTCATGGTCTAGCATCTATGGGAAACGTGCGTTTATTTGAGAATCCTTTTTTAAATTAATATTTTAACAATTATTGCAAAAATTGAAAAATGATAGAAAACTTTTCTGTTTAATTTATTGAGCTTTATCTTCTTACGAACGTTAATCTATCTTTATCAAATGTTTTGTATGTAAAAATAGCATTTTATATAGAAGAAAAAAGACGGATTTTTTAATATTTCGAGTTCTTCAAAGCGCTTATTTAATTTCCTTGATGTATGGAACATAATAGTGTAAAGTGTATCATTTATATCTTGTACTAATATTCTAGCACAATCGTGAAGTGAAGAATCTTTTTTATTAACAAGATCAGAAAAGAAAGCGAAACGGTAACTATCCGGCAAGATACTAGATCGGAATGAGATCTCGCGTGTATCGAAAACAGACATTATTCAAGTAACAATAGAATCCTTTTGAAAAAAGAAATTCAAGGATACATGCAATTCTGTTTTTTTACAAATCAACTCTAGTTTAGCCATAAATTATATCAAACATCGAAACTAAAATAGTATTGTGATATTGAACAAAAATCCAACAAAAAAAATGCCAACGTCCAAAAAAATACAATAGACACAACACAATTATTGAGAAATAGTTATGGTTCACTACTGAAAGAGTAGGTCACGTGTACTAATTGAGATAAATTTTTCTTTTGTGGAAAACCATGAAAATAACGGTATATAACATAATCTTGTGTGACACATGATATATGTAACACATATGTAAAATTATGTTTCTCTTTTTTATGTTTTCCCAAAATCTTTTTCAGTATTACAATCTTGAACTTTTAGCAATATATTTAATCAATATATTAAATTTTTAACAATATTTAATGATAGCTACACCATTTATAATTTTGGATATTTTAACAAATAATCTCAAAATAATATATAAACTCGAAAAAAATTTCATATAAAATCAAGTACAAAGATATAGACAGAATATTCTCTAAAATCTCCGAATTTTCTTTTAAGAACGAATTTTATAGTCAATTTGAAAATGATTATTTCTCGGCATTTTAATATTTTCTCAGCAAAAATGTTGAAATATTAATAGTTTTCAAATCAAGCGATTAAAAAAGCAGAGCATCTTGTTAAACTTATGAAGTTAAAAAATCAGAACATCTACACACGCGCGCGCGTTAAGAGACACACATTCTTTAGTTAATTTTAGAGAAGTTTACTTTAATAAAATTTTCATTTTAATTAAATATTTTAACTTTAGCTATATACAAAAATATAAAATGATGAAAATTGAAGTCTCGTAAAAAACAATAATTTTTCTCGATATTTTCGCTAAAGAAAAATCATTTCTAAAATTGCCAAATAATCCGCTCTTAAAAAAAAATTTGCGCAGAAATTGTTTCTTATATAATTATTCATAAAATATGTCTATATATATTTTCTTTCTCTTATGTTTAATCTCTGCCTGTATATGTATAGAAATAATAATGAGATAATTAAAAAATAATTAGAAGAATAATTTTTTCATTAATTTTTTTTCTAGAAAAAGTAAAATTTGAAACATATTGCTTATACATATACTTAATATATATATATATATATATATATATATATATTTATATATATATATATATATATTTATATATATATATATATATATATATTTATATATACAGGGTGGGGAAAAAGTATGGAAGCAAACAATTATTTCCGAAACTATTCATTTTTCGACAAAATGTCTTAGACATAATTTTTATGGTATGAAAAGATGTATTATGTGGCATAGACGGCATGACCTTGAAATGACCCTTACGAGCTGCATACAAATAACGTAAAAAATTTCAAACGGAACTCGTCAGTTTTTGTTACAGATTCTTGTAGCTGATGTCGAAAACGTTTACAAAACACTGCATATGAGCCCCATTCCCTTAAAAACACTCCCAGTTACGAAACAATTGTGATACAAACAATTTGTATGCACATTGACATTGCTTACTGATTTCGCATCATGACGTTCAGTTGCGTCCACTAATAACATGTAATTGTACCTAAGCAATGTCAATGTGCATACAAATTGTTTGTATCACAATTGTTTCGTAACTGGGAGTGTTTTTAAGGGAATGGGGCTCATATGCAGTGTTTTGTAAACGTTTTCGACATCAGCTACAAGAATCTGTAACAAAAACTGACGAGTTCCGTTTGAAATTTTTTACGTTATTTGTATGCAGCTCGTAAGGGTCATTTCAAGGTCATGCCGTCTATGCCACATAATACATCTTTTCATACCATAAAAATTATGTCTAAGACATTTTGTCGAAAAATGAATAGTTTCGGAAATAATTGTTTGCTTCCATACTTTTTCCCCACCCTGTATATATTTTTCTCATAAGAGTCATTGATTAATTAAAATGCTGATATAATATTAAACAGAAAAATATCTATATATAAAATAACACTTTATGTGAACAGAGGAAACAGAAAATTGTAAAAATTTTTAGAAGTTTTTTTAGAAGTAAATTTTTAGTAGTAAAAAAGAGAAATTTTAGTATTTTAAATTCTTTTAAACGCAATATTATTTACGCATCTTATTTAACCTTTCTTTTCTACCTAACAGTATTGCGTGTTTAGGCAAAATTTGTCATTTCTCTTTATAACAATGAAAGGAAGGGAAAAGAAAGAAAGATTCGAAAACATATAAAATCTTTACTACTTTCACTATTAAATGCAGCGAGAAACAATTTCTTGTAGAAAAAAAGTTAAGTGAATGGGAACAAAAGTCTTATAAATTTCTGTTATGTGAAATATATTGTTTTCTCCATAATATTTCCGGAAATTAAAAGATAGTGAAGGAAAAAGAAAGTGATTAAAGAGAAAAAAATTTTAATAGAGATATATATTTAAATATTTCTTGTAAAATTAAAACTCAAAATTATTTGATATGTATGTAAGAATAAATTAAGAAAATCACTGATATATTGATATTATTCAAGAGTAATTTTTTACACAATGGCTTCGATCTTTTAATTAAACGCGTAAAGAAATCCTCACTTCAACTTAAATAAACGCAATAAACAATGATCATCGATTGTAATCACAGCTACGATAAACTTGAGTTTTCGGCTCTAAATTATCTAAGTGCTGAAATGATTTATGAACTTCTGGCACACGATATATAACTATACACTTATACACATCCCAAACCATTTTGCGTGTATATGTGTGTGTGATCTTACTATGATCGTGCAATAAAATAATATATTACGCGAATACAGTACTTAAAATTAAAGATATATGATACTTGTGCTATGATTTATGTGATTATGACAATTAAATTGTCATAATCGCCTTTTGATATAACAAACTGAAAAAAATATTGCATATATCAATTATAATAAAAATATAATTTATTAATACGATAAATAAAACTTCACATAATTTTAGCAAAAGTGTTTGATTACTATCAAATATTTTTATATTTCTGTTATAACATAAAAATACAAGTTAATACGAATCTGAATAAAATACGAAAAATATAATTTTCTTTGTTAATATATAAATCAATTAAAGATTCAAGAATATGTCTTTATCGAAATTATTTTCAATGAAATACCAAAACTAAATATAATGAAATTATATTTATATATAATATAAATTATACATGTATAATGTAATATATAATATATATATTAAGAGATATAATATGGAGATTTTCTTATATTGTTTTCTTTGATTTTCAGTACACAATACACTCATTTATTTAACGAAGAAAAAAAGAGAAAGAAAAAAAAGAAAAAAGAGAGACATGAAAGAGAGAGAAAAAGAGTGGAAGATTAATTTTTATATTAATATTGCTTATTTTAAAAAATTTATGAAATACTTTAATGACTTAATTTATTTTTAATACAATTAAATTCAAAAATTCACGAATTTTATACAAATTTTATTTTTATACAAATTACATTTTGAAATAATTTATTCTGTTTCTATTTCTACTTAATTCCTATTGATTAATAAAATAATCAACTTCAAGAAATAAATCTCTATCAAATAAATAAGCACGTAGAGATGTTAATTTTTATTTTATAATTAAATTTTGAAGATTAGAGGGTGAAATTTATTTTTTTCTTTCATTGTAAGAAATTAACAGAAACAATACGAGCCGATGCGATGCATGATATGGAATAAATATGTAACAGTATGTCTTATCAAGAGAGGTGGAGTCACAGGAAAATCGGATCTCTTTTCATTCTCTTCCTCTCTTTTTCTCTCTTTCTCTCTCTTTGTCTCTTTTTCTCTCTCTTTGTAGATGGGCGACGTTGGACACCATTACGCTGAATCGTGGCTGTAGATTGGTCGGTCGGCTGCTGGTGGGAACAGAGCTTATCCGGTTCGACTAACTGCGCCCCACCAAACTCGTGAACCAAGCTAGTCGATTCTAATGTCGAAATACACGCGAGGAGGGAACTGATACTACACGAGAGAAGCCTGTTAAATTCACATCGCAACATTCTCGATATCGACATCAAAGGAAAACAAGTTCAGCGCATCAAACAACGTTTCGTTCAGTTGAGTTATTGATTCGATTTCGTATAGTGAACAATTTATTTTTAAATTCTATGATTTTTTAAAAAATCTTGTGTTGTGAAAACATACATTCGCGTATTGTGTAAAACTTCCAATATAAAAAAAAAGAAGACATGCCATCATTTCATGACGATTTTGTCGCGGGTGAACCTTCGAATCTCAGCAACATCACCAACATGATGCATTATAATCAAAGTAACTTTAGTGTCCCGTATCGCCAGCAACAGCAACAGATCGCGAATAATCAACAGCAACAATTAATAATGCAGCAAGCGCAGCAACAGACATCAATGCAACAGGTTCAACCGCACGCGGTTGCCGCCGCCGTCATTGATGGGAGCCACTGGTATGGATGTTCTCACAGACCTATACCAGCGACACCAGCTCTGCATCCTCAGCATCAGCCGAATGCGCACACACACACAATTTCCTCGCAATTCTTTAATCATGCCGAAGTGCTCTCTGGATGGTCTTATCCTCATTACTCGCAATATATTCAGTATCCACAACAACTGCATCATCTTCAACCGCAGTCGCAACAGCACTTACAATCAAACTCAGCGCAGCTGCTCATTCATCGTTCGTTGCTAGATAATCTTAACGAGTCACATTCCTCGCCGGAACAGAATATACAGCAACATTCGTCACCTCAACAACTTTATTCGCAACATTCATCGCCGGAGCAGAATATACAGCAACATTCGTCACCTCAGCAACTTTATTCGCAACATTCGTCGCCGCAGCAAAATATGCAGCAACAATCGCCACCTCAGCCGATCTGTTCGCAACATTCGTCGCCACAGCAAAACATGCAGCAACATTCACCACCTCAAGAACTCTGTCCACAACATACGTCACCGCAACAGAATTTACAACAACATTCGCCACCTCAACAAATCTGTTCGCAACATTCGTCGCCGCAGAATATGCAGCAAAGTTCACCACCTCAGCAACATTATCAGCAGCATTCGTCACCGCAGCAACACATACAAATTTCGCCACCGCAACAACAGTGTCAGCAACAGCCATCACCGCAGCATCATGTTCACTGTGGCCAGCGTCAAATTTCGTTAACCAAACAACAGCTTCAAAGATACCAGAATTCATCATCTACAAGTTCTTACAGACAGCAAATGTTATTGCATGAGTGGGGTATCAGACATGAGAATGGCGGAATGCCGATTTTAAATCCGCATTCATCAATATCCGTCAAAGTAAATAATGTAAGTGACAATATAAACAACAACGTAGATAGTAACATGAGTGGCAGTAATAGTACGGTGTCCCCTAATAATCCAAATGTGATGTACGATGTGGACTTACCGTGTACCTCCGGATATAATATCAACCAGTCATCGACATCCGCAGCCATACCATCTACGTCGAGAGAAATGTCGGCCATAGCATCTACATCGAGAGAAATGCCGGCCATAGCATCTACATCGAGAGAAATGCCGGCCATAGCATCTACATCGAGAGAAATGCCGCCCATATTATCTACACCCAGAGACATGTCGGCTATACCGTCGACATCAAGAGGACTACCGTCCACTTCTAGGCGTCAACCATACGTTTCCAGAATGCCGCATGGAAGAAGAAGTCCATACGAATGGATGAAGAGATCATCGTACCAGAGTCAACCGAAGCCAGGTCAGTATGATTGTCATTTAAACACATTATAATTAATAAAGATCATTTCAACATCTCTCTTACACCTTTTTCCAAATTAGAGATTCTAATAATGGTGTAAATTTATTCAATAGTAGAACCTTTGCATGCTTTGAAAATTGGCAAGATTATTATAACGATATTAAAATAATAAAAAACAACGAAACACATTCAGAAAAATTATGACAAAAGTGTCAAAACAAAATTAATTCGGTAAATATCAATTTAAATTCGTACTTGCATTATTAATAATTAAAAAAAAAATAGATATCCAAAACACCTATCTCTTAAAACACGATAGATAACACATTCCACGCTAAAGGAAAATTACTACTGTTTATTTCACAAAATCTTTAATTTTCACTCAAAAAACTTAATTCGCATATAATAGATTGCGCGTGCCGTCGGAAATATTTTATGCCTCGATTCGTCGCTCCCTAGTCCCACTTAATTTTTATCTTATCTTGCATATTTGACTAGATGTAGTACAACGCAATTTGTACGTGGAAATTATTGTCGATCAGATTTTTTTAATCTTAATTGATTGATGAAAGCAATTATGCCGCCTACAGTATTGATCATATTGATAAAATTTCATGAATCCACATATATATTCTTTTTCAAATTAGGAGTTGTTATATACTACTGTTACTATATTATTATTATTATATTTTATTTAATATCCAAATGAAGAATATAAAATCAAAAATAATAAATAATTTTTATATGATATATTAGTAAGAATATTTATATTATATATAATTATTTATTATAAAAATAATAAATAATTATATATAATATAAATATTCTTACTCGAGATATCTTAGAGAAAAAAATTTGGAAATAAATATAACTAAATATCCAATAAGAATAGAGCGTTAATTAAGTATTAAGCTTAATGGAGTAATTTTCTATTATAGAGTAATTTGCTATTATTATTTGCAATCTAATTTGAAAAGAATATTACGACTCCGAATTATATAAAATTGCATTAAAAGATTACACAGGCTTGCGAGGGTCAGTTACAAAAAGCAGAGTCAGTGAATCTAATAGATTTTTAATGCTGAAAATGAATTTGGCCGCAGAGTTTCTCCAGCACGTCAGGTTTTTGAGTAATTAATAATTAAATTGTTCAAAAAATGGATATTTTGGCCAATTTCGTGAATTTATTATGGGGGAATCTAATTTTTTGAAATATTTCTGCCAATGGCATCGTATAATACTAATCTTTATTTTTCAAATCTATTTTCGTTTGCCGCCGCATGATTTTTTTTCGGACAATTTAATCACAAATTACTCAAAAACCTGACGTGCTGGAGAAATTCTGCGGTCAGATTCGTTTTCAGTGCCAAAAAATCTATTAGATTCACTTATTCTGATTTTTGTAACTAACAGAACCTAAAATTGCACAAGTCTGTATTATTATAAACTTATTAAAGATTATTATAAACTTATAACAAACAGTTATTAATGAAATATTGCTCAATCAGGAAAGTGCAGAATTTGCGAATATTAAAAACTTTTCAATTTTTATTTTCCTTAATCTCAGATCTGCGATTTTCACGAATTAATAATTATTGAATTCTTTTCTTCTAATATTTTTTAACAAAGTTTATTTACAATTGAAATATTCTTCTATAGTTATATACGATTAACAAAAAAGTCGTGTTTATTATAAAATACATTGTATGTAGAATTAAAAGCTATGATATTATCATAGTTTTATCATCGCAACGATAATATCTGATCAAGTGAGATGAGAAAATAAAAATCTATATCCCTATATTATCGAGGATTATAATCAATAATGCAATCCACATTCTAAGCACAACATATATATCTAATTACAAATTCAAATCACGAATATCGAATTGTGTAGAACTAGAATTAAATTGAAATAGAAGCTCAAAAGAGTATCTGAAAAAATAGAATATATCTTTCTTTCATTTTTCCATATTATAAATACTTGCAATATTATCGAGAATATATATTAATTATATCTTTGAAAGAATATTAAAGATCCATATCTTTTATCAGAACATCAATATAAAATTTAATGTTGAAAAAGGAACAATTCTACAGATCGCTCAGTCGCTGCGAGAGACGCGCAAATCTTACAAATATTATTTTTTACGAGATTTGAACGAGTAATTTTCGGTTACAAAAGATCGGTTGAGAAATCGGACGATTTAAAAATCGCGTAATGAAGCTTAACACGCGTGTTTAAGACGCACATGTCTAACGAGAACGCCGAGGACTTGTTCGCCACGATTATAAACACGTCTCGGCGGTCTAGATACGGCAAACCATGTAAACACGGTAACAGACGAGCAAACATCTAATTGCTCTCAAATATTTGTGAGATAATCCTCTCTCTCTTTCCCTTGCTCCCTCTCTCCCCGATCCGACCGTCCTCTTGTCATACACCTGAATTTTTCTCCGGTTCCGAACGAAAATCCCGTTCGTTCGTACGATGTCCTGAATCAACACGACACGCGACAAGAAAGAGTTAACTCTCTTACGTAGCAAACCGCGTGTTCTCGCGAGGCCGAGTGTATCACTCCAGTGAATTTCTTAATACACATATCGATAGGTTCTCGCACGATGAAAGAGATGTCACGTTCATTCTTGCAGCGTGCGACGCTGCTGACAACGCGGATTCGCCTTCGCCAATTAACGAACTCTGCTGCCGACTTGAAACCCTCGGTAGGAATTACAATCGAAATATTATTATCATTGTGTACAATGGTACTTTGATGTTTCTTGCATGCGTTGTATTGCATGCAAGTACTCGATGTTATTAGTAAAGTGAAGAATGTTGTGATTTAACTGGTAGAACTGGCATTAAATTTAAACAAAAGCTTGTAAGCCTTCACATACAGATGCGCCTAAAGAATATCTGATAAAGGATATTTAATAATTTTTCCCATACTTTATGGATATTTGTAATATTTTTGAAATATTTATTACAATTTTGAAAGAATATTGAGGTAGAGAAGAGCTTCAGAAGATATGATATTCAAAAAAGTGTCAAAAATTCTATTTTATATATAAGGATAGGAACCTAAAAAATATTTCTACACAAAATCTATATTAAAAAAATCTTTTTTTTAATTATTTTTCATATACGTAATATGTAAATATATCATGACGACGTATCTTGAGATTTCTATAAGATATGCAACGTTAACAATGTTGGAAAGATCAATTAATTCTACACAGTGACAATATTAATAAATATTAATTAATCTCGGCTTGAGAAAATCATTTATTCGCGCGATGTCTCTTGAACTCTCACTGTTCACTTTATTTTTTCAGTCATCTTTAGACCAATATAAATTTTTCCAGGCAAATTAAAAACTAAAATAGTCATTTGGTACTTTTTTCTAGAGAGTTTATTCGCGCACACTATTTGGAGTCCATTTTTCCTTCCAGAAAATCGATTTTTCATATTCTTTCATTCGATTGGAATTAATATACCCGTAGAAAAACAGTACCTCCCCCAAAAATCCTGTTGTTCTTAGGGTCTAAAGCTATCAAGTTCTTTCTAGATTCTCTATTCCTGATTTTCTCTTTCGTTACATCTTCCGTCTCATTTGCATCTTATAAAGTAGGACATTTAATAATTTTTCCCAAATTTTTTATGAATTTATAATATTTTTAAAATATTTATTACAATTTTGAAAGAATATTGAAGGTAGAGAAGAGAATCAGAAGATACGATATTTAAAAAAGTGTCAAAAATTCTATTTTATATATAAGGATAGGAAACTAAAAAATATTTCTATACAAAATCTATATAAAAAAAATCTTTTTTTTAATTATTTTTCATATACGTAATATATAAATATATCATGACGACGTATTTTGAGATTTCTATAAGATCTGCAATATTAACAATATTGAAAAGATCGATTAATTACTACACATGATCAATGAATTCTTCACACTTGAGAAAATTGTTTATTTGCGTGATGTTTCTTGAAATCTCACTGTTCACTTTTTTTTCAGTCATCTTTAGATCAATAAAAATTTTTCCTCGCGAATTAAAAATTAAAATAGTCATTTGGTGGTTTTTTTCTAGTTTATTCGCGCACATTATTTGATGTCCATTTTTCCTTCCAGAAAACTGATTTTTCATATTCTTTCATTCGATTGGAATTAATATACCCGTAGGAAAAAAATATCTCCCCTGAAAATCCTGTTGTTCTTCGAGTCTAGAGCTATCAAGTTCTTTCTAACTTTCAAATTCTTTCTATTCCTGATTTTCTCTTTCGTTACATCTTCCCTCTCATTTGCATCTTATTTGACGCGCGTGCAGCAAGTACGCCTTTAAGCACCTTAAAACGGCATGCATCCCCTGTACCTTCCAGCGGCTATTATCTGCATTTTATGGTTATATTGCAGGTAGAAGCGCCGCTCGGGCAGAAGCCCCTCCTCATGACAACGGTCTGCTCGCATAATATACAGAAATGCGAGGCTGTCGTACAATCTCGTGAGGAAGACGCTTTCTCGTTCGCGAATCGCGCGCTCGTTCCGTGAGAGCGATCCTAGCGATGGCAGCACGCGATTTTTACCGGTTTTTACGACACCTTTCGTCTCGCCGCGATTCCTTTATCGACTTGTGCGGTTGGAAGCACCACCAACAATGGCGGAGGAAAGATTCAGCCCTTTGAGGACGGTTATTCTTTTCTTTTGAAAAATCGAGCTCTTACAAAATTTATAAACATATTTTTATTTAAATGAAAACACGCTTTTGATTAAAAATTGAATTAAAATATCTGTAATTTTCTTGAGACAATCAGTTACATCAACATCACATATTCATATCTTTATTCATATCTTCTGTTCTTTTTTCTCACTGACTGGCTGTAAACGACACGTCTTCATTTCTTTTTTTTTTTTACTAGACTCAGATTAAGTAAGAGAAAAAAATGTCTATCAATAAGTTTGAATATTCTTCTGGACTTATTCTCTTTCCG